GGCACGAGAAGTGCAAAAACGCATAATCGCACCGGCCCGCCTGGTGCGTTCCAGCCTGGGTTCTAATTCGCCTTCCTGGCGTCTTTTGGGTCTTCATCACCAGAAAAGAGGGACAATCATTCTTTTCTGAGGTGTATCCTTTAGGTTCCACATAACCCTATCCCCTCCTCCCCCAATTTTCTTCACTCGGGGTCTTAATTCTTGATCTTGGTTCTGTTCTTCGTCACGTGTGGTACTGCAACTACGCGCCCTTCCCACATCGTCAGTCCTTCGACTCAATTCTTCTCATCAAAATCTTATCAATCAACAACTGACCTCAGAGGGTGCTTGGCAGAACTGCGCTTGCCCCTCATCTCGATAATCCCTACCACTTGTAGTTAGGTCAATTTACCAACATCATTGATTGCGCACTGCTTTCTCAGTATCTAATAAACGCTTCCTTGCGAATCCCCTCACCACAGCGACCACCGCATCGATCCAACATTTATTATGCATGTGCGTAAGTGCATATGTACATATGTATGTATGTATGTGTGTGTGTGTGTATGTCTGCGTATATATGTATGCATGTAAGTATATGTATTTATTTATTTATTTATGTATATACGTATGTATGCATGTGTGTATGTGTCCGCACTTCTGTCACACACTTTCAACTTAGCAACTGATGGAGCTAGGGAACTGAGATTTTTGGAGCGTATTCCCACCCGTGTGTGATGCTCACTTGTTAATTTCATCTTTCACGTACACTCAGGTCTTATTTACGGGAGCTTAAGAAAACTTGTGTAAATTTTTTGACGGAAATAGGATCTTGGGAAACAGACGCGGTAGAGACAGAGAAAAACTTTACAGAAATATTCTGCACCGTTGCGTTACCTAAAGATTTCGAATTCAGACTGAATGAGTGCACAAATCATTTGCACGCACAAGTCCAATTTACAACTTTGCAACAGCTGGTAAGATGCCAACTCGGGAACTAGACTGAGTAGGTTCCTTTGATTTTATGAAATATTTGTTTTTTATGTGCGAGTCAGTGAGCGTTATATCAGCACTCGCGCACGCATCCATCATGCGTACGGACATTTCAAATTATTTTTCGCCAGGGAAAGCAATTTTGGGAGCCAGTTGTGCTGGCTCCCAAAATTTTTTGAAAATGTGGCGACTCATGCTAGTCCAAACGATCTCACTGTGGCACGAAATCGCGTACAAAGCACATGATCGCAAAGGCAAGTCTGGTGCGCGACGTAATTGACTGTGTTTGCATAAAATCAAAAACTACACATAATATCATTGGCGATGCGCATTAGGCGGGCCCGTGCGATTATGCGTTTATGCAGTATTTCGTGCTGCATTAAGATTGCTCGGAAACCCAGTAGCAAGAATATGTGACATCCTCGAAGTTCGGGAATTTGATTGTGCAACTACGTAGTACTTGGACAGGGAACATTCCGTTAAAATTTCAACTTTCCAACTTTTCTGGTTCTCTTGTCAGCAATTTTTTCGCCAAAAACTTCACAGGGCCGTACGTGACCTGGGGCATACCTAGGGGTTGAGTTTGAAATCTCTAAATTGTACGTGGGCTGGGAATATCTCTTTAAAATTTCAGCCTCCCAGCTTCCCTGGTTCCCGAGTTAGTCATTTTCCAGCCAAAAATTTTCAGGGGGCCGTACTTGAGAAAGACGCACACCGAGGGGCTGAATTTGATAAATTTATGTCTAGGCTGAGAACATCCCCTTAAAATTTCAGTCTGCCAGCTTTCAAGGTTTCAAAGTTGGCGATTTCCCCGTTAGGAACCCTCACGAGGCCGTACGCGGGGGCCATGCACACCTGGGGGCTGAATTTGAAATCTCTGAGTCCTATATAGACAGAAAAAATAGTCTCAAAATTTCAGCTTTCTAGCTTTTCTGGTTCCCGAGTTAGCGATTTTTCTACCAAAACTTCGTACGCAGGTCCAGACATGTGTGAGGGTTGGTACCGTGGTCCTGGGGTGGCACTTGACCGGAAATCCACTGGCAAAAATTTTGGCGCCAGAACTTGCTTGGTTGCCGAGTTGAAATACCCCGGTAGATGAACACAAACACTCACACATACACACACACACCGGGGTCGCCACAATATGCGTTTTTGCATTTACGTATAGGCAAAAACACATAAAAATAGTAAAGATTCGAGTTTAGAATGATGAGTATCGTTAGCATACCGTGCGTATTTTATGGATGACAACAGCGAACGCTGGATTTAAACGGGCCATTCCATCTGTTCTTGCTCCTTGATCGGTTCTCGTTTGCAGCTTGCTTCGAATGCTGACAAATGCAACATTTACTACTTGCACTTCACTTGTACGACATGCTTATGACTGCTGTGCATATTTTTAGACTAGGTCTGCATGTGCATTTCTGCTAAGAACAGTTACCACTGAGAACAACAAAAGGAAAAATGTGAGAGGGGCTAGGAAGATTTGTTTTGATGATAAGTAGACATCGTAGTTTCAGCACTTGAAGACCTTCGAAAAATCTGAGACTCATACATAAACCAGCTTGCAAAATCTGTAGAAAAGCGAGCCAAAAAGAATTTGGCAGAACTGTATATGAAGTTTGGCTACTTCCAATATTCGAACGCTCCGTATTGCTAGCTCAAGCAAATTTTGCTGCTGTGTCTCTGACATATAACATACTTCACAAATATATGAAGAACGAACCGTTCTTTCATGTGTTTACTGATCGGAGAGCCGTCTTCGATCAGGCCTTCAATAATGGCAATGGATGCATTTATTTCAGCAAAATCCAAAGGAATGCGTCGTTTGAAATCGGCAGCTCGCACGTTTGCTCCATGAGCAATGAGTAACATCGCAATTCGCTCACAAACTAAACAGTGCAGATAAAATAAATGATACTTTGATCAGCTGCAATTGGCGCCGTTTTCCAGCTACTTATTTTGAGAAACAAACTTGAGCATATCGAATAAGTGACAAAATACATTTAGAACCATCATTGTTCCTGCACGCAAGATGCAAGGGAGTTTGACCAGTACAGTCCGGGATGTCCAGATTTGCTCCAAATGCAATTAATAGATTGCAAATATTAAAGCACCGTTCCTTGGCTGCAATGAATAGAGGTGTCCGATTGCTCGATACGGTTACATTCGGATCTGCTCCATACATCTGCAATTGCTTCTCATCGCATCTTATCCCTCGTTCCTTTCATAAATGCGTGGCAAATGGGATAATGCTTATTTCCTATGTGGTGTACCCAGAAACATTTTCTTTCAAAATTCACGCGTCCTAGTAATTTGTGCAAGCCAGTGTCCCTCGCACTTTCGTTCGCTAATTCATGAGTTTCTATGTCCATAACACTTATAGGCATGAGCACTATAACTAAACCAAGTGAGGTGACCAGGAAAAAGGGTGAAGGGAATGAAATAATTGGCCAACGCACGGCTGCCCGTGCGAAGATGCGTTTTTTGCATGGTTCCCTGCAGTTTTCATTGCTACCGGCACCGGCTATTTCGGCAAATGCTTCTAGCTAAACAAATTAAGATTGGCCGCCAGAACTGTCAGGAAACATCCCCTTAAAATTTCAGCTTTCTCGCTTCCGTGGCCCCTCAAGATTTCAGCCTCCTAGCTTCTCAGATCCCCGAGCTATGAACTTACCCGAAAAAAATTTTAGCGGGCTCGTACGCGGATACCGCGCTTACTCTGGGGCTGAGTTTGAGCCCACTAATACCCGGTTGGGCGTGAAACATTACCCCAAGATTTCAGCGTTCTAGCTTCTCAGATCCTCGAATTATGAACTGACTCCAAAAAAACTACGCGGGTACCACGCAGGATTTGGCGCCCATTTTGAGGATTGGGGGCGCTACGTGCATGTAGATTAAGTTCCCGAAATTTCATCCCCGCAGCTTTTATAGGTCCTGAGATGAAAGTGCATGACAGACGCACACACAGACACGCGGACACACAGACAATCTCTCGTCAATATGCGTTTTTCGCATTGCATTGCTGCAAAAAACGCATAAGAAAGGTATGATGCCCTCTCTTTTAGTTTAGTTGTGTGCCGGTGTGCTGAATCTTCCCAGATTTGTTCAATTTTTATGCATTTTTATGCGCTTTTGCCTGTATGCAAATTGCAAAAACACATATTGAGACGACCCCGTCTGTGTGTGTATGTATGTGTGTGTATGTTTGTGTGTGTGTGTGTGTTCGTCTGTCCGGGTATTT